TCTGCCAGAAGAGCCAGGGTTCCAGGCAGTTGCAGTTTGCCCAGTCTGTGCTCATCTGGGAAAATGGTGGGCTCAACCCTGAGAGACTGCAGGCCCAGGCTGCTGGGAGCTTCTGGGATGGACCCAACTTAGGATGGGGTTGAGGTGGAATGGAAAGGGCCCCTCACATTCATTTAACAAAGTGTCTTGGGTCTCTACCTTGCAGCTCCAGCTCAGTGTTCAGGTGACTGGGGTGCCCCATCATGTGTGAATGAGGTCACAGTGACCTCATCTGTGAATACTTGCAGCTCCATCTCTGGGGAGAGCAGAGGACGGAACATCCTGTGCAGAGCCAAGGTGGAACAGTCTCCTGTGAGCTCCCTAGTGGCCAGCGGGACAAGGGCCTCACCCCTTTGTCTTGACTGTATTGTTGATCAGTGGACCTTTGGCTTCCTTAGGATGTCCCCTGAGACACATGGTTGTCATGTCTATGACTGCTGTGGGGCCACCCCAGGCCCCTGATCTGTGGAGACATATCTGGGAACGAGTGAGTCTGGCCTCAGCCTCTCCCACCACGTACATTCTGGCAACTTCCACCCTGAACCTTCCACCAATTCCACTTTCAAAATTTGCTGCTCTCCCCTCTGTGTTCCTTGATGTATCTCCATGTCCAAGCTTTTCATCTTGCTGTTATCTCCACTTGGAATGTGCATAATCTTCCTTAACTTAGCTTAGGGTCTCAGCTTGACCTGTGCAGAGCCCACTGCAGGGACCCACTGCAGCAGGGGGCAGGGGGCCTCTGTGTGCCATGTCCTGGTACTGGAACCTTGGGCAGTGGCTGATGAGGGTGTAAGGCCTGAGTTTGGTCCTACCTGGGGACTTGGGAGCTCCCCAAAGTGCAAAAAAAGTGTTGCAGGGCCTAGGGTGGGGAGGGAGGGGAGAAGTCTCCCCAGACCTTGTAGCTGGAAGCAGGGACCCCAGCAAGCAACCTAGGAGGGGTCTGGACCAGCCTTTGGGCTCAAGGAGATACTCCTTGGGGCTGTGATTTTCACATGTTAGACTCTCAGCAGCAAAGTCAGTTCCTCAGTCAGCACCCAACAAAAGTGGGGTGGGTCTAGAATGCCAGAAGCCCAGCCTCCTCTGAACAGACTTCTAGATCTAGATTGGCAGACGCATACCTGGGGGATTACTGCTTTAGGAGGAGGTTGGGACCTAGGCTGCCCCAGCTCTCAGGGGCTCTTCCTGGGAGCCAAGCTTTCCTTCCCTTTTGCTCTCCCTTGGCATTTGGGAATGCCTTTGTGCAAACTTCTGCCTACCTCTTCTGACCTTCAGTTGGGCCTAAGGAAAGGATGGACCTTGCTGTACTCAAAGGGACCAAGGGGAGCCCTGGATGTCAGTATGAGAACCCCAGATGGGCCTGAGCTAGTGTCTGGTCCTGCCACCACCCTGCCTGGGCCCAGGGACCTGACCTCTGTGGTTCCAGCTTGTATTTGCAAAGGAAGCAACTTTTCACACAGGTAACTTTTTGGGATACCTTGATTCTAAGCAGACTGAGCACCCAATCCTGGGCCCCAGTTTCCTGACTGTATAATGGGGATAATGAGGAGCCCCCTGCCTTGCAAAAATGAAGTGTTCCTATTTAGGGAGGACATGCTGTGTGTGATTTCTTTCCTTCTCACAGACTCCAGCAAGCAGAAGTCCTCTCCGACCTGGCTTGCCAGCCATGGGCACCTGCACCACACCATTGGTAGTGCCATGCATGGAAAGGACACCTGGAAAAGGAGCAAAGGTAGAGTGTGGGGGGCAGGGTATACCACTGGGTTCTACCCTGGTGGCTCTAGCAAGGCAGGTACAGAGAGAGCACCCAAGGTTCACCTGGCCCCCACTGCCAGCCCTGGGAAAGCCAAAGACTAAATGAATAAAACACTCGAATAATGGAATGAGTGATGCAAAGATTGCCAGCTGGGAAATTTAAAAGTAAAAACCCATGAGGCTAACCACGAATAAAAATAAAATAAATGCAGTAATAAAAAGAAGATCAAATAAAATAAATATGAACTGGGAAACAGTAAAAGTGAAAGAGGCTGGCAAGAAGAGTAAGGAAGACAAAGTAGAGATGAGCAATTAATATACAAAGGAAGAGCCAAAGGCAGCTACTGAGGGAAAACCTGAAATATGCAGTTAAGTAAGGGTGCCTTTTTAAAAAAGAAAAACCTGGTGGGTTTAAGAGAGCAGAATTTCAGTGGGATTTTCTGAGCTCAGATCCTTATCGAAAGTGGGTTCCCTAGAGCTCATGCCTGGATCTCAGGCTGCTGAGCTCTAAGCCTGGTTCCTTTTAAGGAGCTGGCTGACCTCTCCCTGGGTGGTTGACCCCAGGACTTGGGTGGCCTCTTCCTAGTGTACTCAGGAGAGTTGGTCTTCCACACCAAAATCTACAGAGGATCCCCCAGGCTGGATCTTGGTCTCTCTTGACAGCAGGGCCTGGGCTGAATTGTTTTAGAAATCCCAGGTGGGCTCTGTGCTGGGATGGAGGGGAAGGCAGTCTTCCGGCGTCTGTATCTTATCTAGTCCAGGGACTCTTTATGAGTAACATGGTTAGGGAGGGGCCCTTCTGCAGGGGTTGGGCAGTGGTAGTTCTACATTGGGCAGGCAGCTGCTCAAAGACGGAGCCAGGGCCGTAGGCCCTAGGGAGGGTCAGGATTCCAGCTGGCCCTTCCATAGTCCAGTTACTGGCTGGGGTAAGAAAGAGGGTGACTGAGAGAGGAGAGATCTGCATTTCTGGAATGACAAAGCCTTAAGTTACAACACTTGTGGCTTCCTAGTGGACCACCCTGGCCTCTCTCTTTGCCTTGATGCTTCTTCTGCAGCTTTGGCGGCAGACTACTGGTTTCCAGTTGTGTTCTTGCTGAGATTCCTGGTGGGCGCTGTTGATCTTTTTGCACATTCCTTCAGTTTCCTTGTGTATAAAATGGGAATACCTCCTCTTAAATAAGGTGTAGGTTGCTGAGCACAGTACCTGTGTTAAATGCATGTAGTTAGAACCAGTATAAGTGAGGATCTGTTTAGAAGGGACCAAATTGTTTTATAGTAATCCATTTTTTATTTTCCCTACTCTGTACAGCCAGTGAATGTGGAATTTTGAGAGAATGAGAATGGAAGCATAGGGTGGGTTATGTTCTACAATTCGAGGCCCCTAAGATAGGTTGTTTCTTTAGGAAGTGCCTTTGTGTGAGTGCCACACCCAGCTGGGAAGCCTAGCCTCCTACATGAATGGTCATTCCTCTCTTCTTGCCCACTGGGCCCCTCATCCTGGAAGTCACTTTGCCTGCCCATGTGGTTCTCTGCTATTCTGCTATTTCTCCTACCCAGCTTCTCCTCTGCGTCTGGTCACTCCTGCCCAGCTGAGTCAGCCCCAACAGCCACTGCAAGATTGCCTCACTGCTCCCCAAGCCTCTGCACAGGGCCTTCTCTGCACAGCCTTCACAAAATAAAAATTGCCAATGACTACTCTGTGGATGCTTCACTCACTCACTCACTCACTCACTCACTCACTCACTCACTCACTCACTCACTCTTTTTCTTTCCTGCCTTGGCTTGTTAACCAGAATTCAATGCCTGGAAGCTGCCTTTCATTCTCCCTTGGTAACCCCACTCAGCCTTTAGAACTGTCACCTCCTCCAGGAAGCCATCCCTGGCTCTTCCTCTCAGGTTGGGTCAGCGCCCAGGATATGCCTATGCATACATAGCTCATGCAGTGTCCTCCCCACATCATTTAATGAATCTGTTTAGGTGTTTGCTTCTCCCACTGCGCGGGGGGTTCCAGCCATGGTCTGTTGCTGAGCCTCCCCTTATCCTTCGTGCCCACCGCTGGCCTAGAGCACTGCAGGGGCCTTGGGGCCAGTCTGACTACAGGGCGAAAGGGTGTTCCCGGGTCGCGGGGACAGCCCCTAAGTGACGCTCTGCCATGCCGGCCCAGACCAGGCTATTTCAAGGAATCCGGGTCCGGGAAAGCTCAGCTGTACTCCATCCCCCTGCCCCTCTGATAAATCTTGGGTGCCACGTGGAGCCCAGACCGTATGGGTCTTGGAGGGAGGCGGCTGAGCGTCAGGCTTGCCACTTCCTCCCAGGCTCAAGCCTAAACAGCATAACGCTGCATGTGGTAGTGGCCGGCCGGAGGTATTCACCCGGTGGCCGAGAGCCGCGCTCGGCGCTGGCCACGAGGAGCGCGGCTCTCCGCCCAGGCTCGGCTCGCTCGTGAAAGCTCCGTGCGGAGTCGGAGTCTGAGCACGCCGGTCGCTTGGAAGGCTCCTCACGTCCAGGCGCCGCGGTCGCGGCTGCGCTGGTTTCCGGCCATGAATTGGGCTTCAGAGTCCCAGCCCCCTGCTCGACTCCCGGCTGAGCACGGGGCCCGCGGGGCGGGGGATGGGCGCCCATCGAGGTCCGCAGGGCTAGCCGGAGCTTGGGCTCGCGGCTCCGGCTCTGCTCGGCGACGGCAGCGGTCGGTCCCCTTTGGCTCCCCGTGCATCCCAGTGCCTGGTTCAGTGCCCCGCCCCGTCTCTCTTTCGGCTTCCCCTGGTCCGGCTCCGCGAGTGGCGCTCTGTCCCGGGCGGGGGACATGGCGGCTGAGGTTGACCGGCGTTAGGGCGCTCCGGGAACCCCCGAGGGTAGCGAGTGGTCCAACCCTTCCCCATCCTCTGGCCGTAGGCGAACGGGCGGCGCGCGGCCTGGGTACGCCAAGTCTCTGCGCGTCGCAACAGTCCCCGCTGCCGTACCGGCCTCCGAGCGTCCCCCGGCCGGGAGCGCGGAGCCCTGGGCGCCCCCTCCGAGCAGCAAGCGGACGAGCGCCGCGCGGCGAGGCTGAGGCTCCGCAGTCACGTGGTGGAGAGGAGGGCGGAGGGGAGGGGAGGCGAGCGGAGGCGAGGGGGAAGGGAGGGGAGGGGGAGAGGGAGGGGAGGGGGCGTCCTCCGCAGTTTGCTCCTCCCCGGGGCTCAGACACACAGCGATCCCGGAGCCGCCGCGCCGGCCCGGCCGCCGCTGCCATCACCTCCGCCGCCTCAGAAGCCGCCCGAGCCGCGGGAAGCGTCGCCGCCGCCGCCGCGGGCCGCCCCCGCCGCGCCGGCCTGGACTCGGGCTGCCAGCGTCGCCGCAGCAGCCACCGGCGCCGGAGCGGGAGCCCGACCGCGCTGGGCTGGGCTGGGCTGGGCTTGGGGCGGGCGCAGGGCGCAGGGGCGGGCGCGCGGGGGAAGACGCACGGGCGGGCTCGGCTCTCCCGGGGAGCGGCCCGGGACTGCACCCGGACCGGCGTCTCCCCGCTCCGCGCCGCCCTCGGCCTCGCCCCGGGCCCGGGCGGATGAGCCGCGCGCCCGGGGGACATGGAAGCGCTGACGCTGTGGCTTCTCCCCTGGATATGCCAGTGCGTGTCGGTGCGGGCCGACTCCATCATCCACATCGGTGAGCCCGGCGGGCGGCCCGGCGGAGGCTGGGAGGGGGCCCCAGCGGCGCAGGGGGTGATCAGCGTCCAAACTTGGCGGTTCCCCGGGCCGAGGGGCTCGGCTGGCGGTGCTTCCCCGAAGGGCCGTGCCGCGCCGCTCCGCGGAGGAGCTGTGCACGGGCCGCGCCGCGCTCCCGCGGGCCCCTCGCTGCTCCCCTGGGCTCCGGTCTACGCGCGGGGCCCCGCGGCCTCTGCCGACACTTAGGGCCGCGGCTATTGGGATCCCGAGGCTGGATGCGCGTTCAGACCTGCACTCCTTGCTGGGCCGTCGGCGGGCTCGGCCAGTCTTTCGGCGCAGCTCGGAGCAGCGGGGGGCAGGAGGCCGGCACGGCCAGGGGTCTTGCCAAGTTGGCAGGACAGGATCAAAGAGGCCCGACTGGAGCCTGTGTGAATGTGGGTGGGTGGGTGTTGTCAGCGTGTGTCGCTGTGTGTGCGCCTGACACCGTGTTGGTGTCACTGCGAGAGGGCGTTGGGGAGTGTGGGTCCATCTGAGCCTGTGTTGGTGCGTGCACGACTGTCAGCCTGTTAGAGTGGACACAATGTCTGCCTGTTTCCCCGTGTGTATCTGTGTCTCAGTGTGTGTGCGTGCGTGTGTGTATCTGGTTGTGGCGACTGCAGCCCAATCCTGGACAGTCCCTGAGTTTCCCGCGGTCCAAGTCTTGGGGCAGGCAGAGGGTCCCGGGTGGTGGGATCCGAGGGAAGAAGTGTGGGCGGCGTGTGTGTGTGTGTGCGCGTTCGCGCGCGCGCACACTAGCTGAGCGGGAAGAGATGGATGGAGGGAGAGAAGATTAACCGGGAGAGCAGGAGGGGGCCAGCGGAGGAGAGTGTGTGGGAGTTGGTAGCCGCATGGGAGGAATCCCAGGAAGTTGGCCTTGGTCAGGGGGCTGACAGCGGTTGCTTTGGGGGAGACTCTCTGCAGTCGCTTTTCCGGAAGTTAGGAAGGACTAGCAAGCACAGAGAAACTGGGGGTTGGGAGGTGTGAGAAAGCAGGGATGATGGGACAGGAGAGGAGGGGGTGCGGCGCAGAGGGGTAGTGAGGCACTGGGCTTGGGCTTGGTGAGCTTGCTGCAAAGCGCCCCCGCAGCAGCCGGGACCAAACCTATTTCCCGCCTCAACGGTGGAAGGCTCGGGTCTCGCGGTCAGCATTGCGGCTCTGGGTGTAAAATGGAACCAGGGCCTCCCTCCTCCTGCCCAGCACCCAGCTCAGGGGGACCATGGGGGCAGTCCTGGAACTGTGGGGACCCTTAGGGCCTGGCGAGGCAGGGAGGACTCCGGAATTGCCCAGACTGCATTGCCGGGCTCTGGCGAGTTGGACTGTTCTCCAATGGAAGCAGGAGTCGGCCCAGGCGGTGCAAAGGGCAAGCCGGAGGCCTTTTCTAGAAGGCCCTTTGAAGAGCGGTTCTTTCTGGGTTCCTCAGCCCTGCTAGGTTAGAAGGCAAGGGGTCTAGAGGACAGTCCTCTTCCTGCTAACATTACAGGCAGGAAGAAGACTTGGGGAGGTATGGAGAGCAGGTGGAGACAAGGGAGCCAGGCTGGAACCTAGATAAAGAAGACTGTTGGTGCAAGTAAAAGCACTGTGGACCTGCTTTCCCAGCTCCACTTAAAGGCAGATGTGCTTAGCAGAAGGAAGTCATCATTCCATTTTGGATTGGGGTAGGAGATCCTGCCCTGGGGTGGGAGGGAGAAGAACTTTCTAGCTCCTGAGATGGGACTCAGGGGGCCATGTTAGGGCATGTGGGTGCTGACAGAGGCCACCCCAGCTTGGCTTAGTCCATTGTGTGGGGCATGGCCATGACATGATTTGGCTTGGTTGTGAGAGACATGTGTAACCTGGTGGCAGTATGTGCTGATGTGCATATGTAACTCATGTCAGTTGTGTGCACATGTGTGCTGTGTGTGGCGCATATTTCTGTGCTGGCTGACCAAGGAGAGTCTTGAACTACCCAGTCAAGTTGAAACGCCAGCCCAGAACTCCCACCACCTGGCAAACCACCTGTCCTACTAGCACGGTGACTGGAGGGCAAAAGCAGGGGGCTGGGGTGGGGAGGGAAAGGTCCTCTCTAGGCTGGGTCTTGACCCCTGCTCTCCTTCAGGTGCCATCTTCGAGGAGAACGCAGCCAAGGACGACAGGGTATTCCAACTGGCCGTATCCGATCTGAGCCTCAACGATGACATCCTGCAGAGTGAGAAGATCACCTATTCCATCAAGGTCATCGAGGCCAACAATCCGTTCCAGGCCGTGCAGGAAGGTGAGTGGCTGCGGCGCCCAGGGCTAACTGGGCTGTGGCCTGCCAAGCGGCGCAGCAGTGGAGACCGGAGGGGAGGGGTTGCGACGGGTTCTTCCGCCCAGAGCCCCCTGTGCGCCCCGGGGAAGCTGCCGTGCCAGGCACAGTACGCGCGCCCTTCCCGGCCCATCAAAGCAGTGGCGTCCGGAGTGCTCTGCGCTGCGGAGCTGGAGCGGAGAGCTTGTGAGCGCGGCGAGTCGGGCACCTTGCTGGCGTGTCGCGGGATTGTGCGGCTCCTTTCCAGCCCTGTGGGCGCGTGTGCGCCCAGCCCTGGCCGCGCAGGCGTGTGCAGCTCAGCGCTGTCTTTGTTTCCTGAGTGTTCTGTGGGTGGGCGTGTCTGCGTGCGGGGTACCTGTGTCGGCGCACCTCCCGTGACCTCGATGGGCGCGTGTCCTCATTGCCAACCGAGGAGCGCCTGGCGCCCGAGCTCGCTCTCTCCCCTCCCGGGGGCACAGCCGGTCCCAGCAGCATTTCGCGGCCCACGGCCCCTTAGTACCTCCGCCCGGCTTTCTCTGCGGTTTCTCTACCGTGCTCCTCCACCGGCTTCAGGGGAACGGGTTTCTCTCGCTGTTCTCGCCGCGGGCGGAAGCGTCGCCGCCTGGGCCAGAGGTGGGCGCTGTTTGACTAGGAAAAGAGCAGAGTTGGGCCGGGCCCGGCTTGCGGAGAAATCTGATACCTCTCCTGGGTGGCCGTGGCCTGCAACTGCTGTCTCCCAGCGGGGCCACAGGTGAGCGGCGGGGACCTTCGCGACAGCGGCCTCCTCAGCTTTCCCTTCCTCTCTCATTCCCTCCCCTCCCACCTGGCTAGAGGCTCAGCTCTGGAACCTGGGTTTCTCACCCACGCAGCCACTTCCGGTCAGAGCCTAAGGTACTGTCTGCCCCTGACATCTGCCTAGCCCGGGTTCCTTTTCCTCTCTTCTGCCTCACGTTCCATATCCATGGGTTGGTTCTCCTTGCTCAGTATGCCCATGGGTTCTGACTGAAGCCCTCACCCCAGTACACTGAGGACAGAGGGCACAACTGGTGGCACAGGATGCAGGGATTCTTCTCAGGAGGAACTGACAGCTCAGGGATAGGGAGGAGGTGGGCTGGATGAGGGCTCCAGGCAGAATCCCCCCACCCCAGCTGCTGGGTCCAGAGCCCTTCTGCTTCCATGGCTTATGCCTTGGCTGCCAGTCCCTGGGCAAGGACCCCTTCTGCAAGGCTAGAGTGACTTAGTGAAGGCTCTGGTCTGGGTCCAATCAGGAAGCTCTTATTTCCTGCACCCAGGAGCTAACAGTGTGGTGGGGACCCTGTGTGTTTTCAAAATGTGCTGTGTTGGTTTTTCCACCCTCTCTGTTGACATACCTTGTTGCCACCAACTTCCCCTCTGCTGTGTTGAGTATTTACTGTTCATTCATTTTGCCCCTGAATGCTGCCCATCACCCCCATCAGCAGGTCCCCAGGGGCTGAAGGTAATGCTCTTGCCCATGGTTACAATCTTAGGCAGGTAACGTGTGTGGGTGATCTGAGCAGCCGGGAGCTGGAGTGTGGGATCCTGGAAGGTCATGTCTGTTAAGAGGAGCAGCTGTTACACAGTTTTAGGCGATTTTGCCATTTAGGAATGAAAATCCTAATGTTGGAGATGTGCTGATTTTTTTTAAAAGAGGGGCCCCAAATCTGGACTTTTATATAAGATCTGATTTTTAACTCTTGTCAACTAGTTGAACAATTTAAATGACACAGAATAAGCCAAACAAAACATAGCCATGGGTCATCCAACCTTCAAGCAGGAAAAATCTAGCAGGCTCCAAGGATGGCAGGCTGACTGACAGTCTTAGAAGGGTGTGATGTGAGTGTGTGTACACATCCAAAACTGGGAAGTTGGAGTCTGACGGCTGACAGTTGTCCAGATAGAAGGTACTGACCAGGTGGTGTTGAGCTGCCCACTGCCCAGAGAGTGTGTGCTGTTTAAAGCTGCCCTGTGCTTTCAACTTATGAGCCAAATAGTCAGAAATTGACATTGTTATTTTGTGACCTTGCACAGCCCTTAGTGTCTACAAAGATGGGAGGGTCCAGCCCCCTTGGGGCTTCAGGGAATGTAGAGCAGTGCTCAGAGGCCCCTTCTCCCTAGCCTGGGATATGGCCGGGCAGGCGCTGTCCTTCAGTGCTCTGTGGGTGCTGGATGGATACCTTCTCTCTCTCTCTCCTGGGCCAAGACAGTCATGGCAGCAGGACACGGACGGTAGAAAACAGTTTGGGCGGGAAAGGAAAGGACTTCTCGGAGGAGAGTGGCCAAGGCAGAAGGGCAGAGGCAGACTGCAGTTCAGTCTCCATTGTGGGCTGGACAAGTTTCCAGTGACCCCAAAATGGATTTGGGGTTGAGGTGATACTGCCCCCACTTTGGCCTGAGAGGCAACACCACAAGGGACAAGAGCTTGGTTACCAGAGCCTAAGAAACTGGGTTCAAATCCTGGCTGCCTCATGAGCATTGTGATCCTGGGGGAGTCCCTTCCTTGCCGGGGACCTTCTGTTCTCTTATCTGTTAGAAGGGAACAATGGTAGGACCTGCCTCGTGGGATTACTGTGAGAATTAAATAGATGAGACATGTGTAAATTGTCTGCAGAAGCACTATTTACAATAGCCAAGAAATGGCTAAGTGTCCATCAGTAGATGAATGGATAAAGAAGATGTGGTATACACAATGGAATATTATTCCGCCATAAGAAGAAAACAAATCCTACCATTTGCAGCAACATGGATGGAGCTAGAGTGTATTATGCTCAGTGAAATAAGCCAGGCGGAGATAGACAAGTACCAAATGATTTCACTCATCTGTGGAGCAGAAGAATGAAGCAAAAACTGAAGGAACAAGATAGCAGCAGACTCACAGAACCCAAGAATGGACTAACAGTTGCCAAAGGGAAAGGGGGGTGGTGGGTGGGAAGGGAGGGATAAGGGGAATAAGGGACATTACAATTAGCACACATTACGTAGGGTGGGGGGGCACAGGGAAGGCAGTATAGCACAGAGAAGACAAGTTGTTACCCTATAGCCTCTTACTACGCTGATGGACAGTGACTGTAATGGGGTATGTGGTGGGGACTTGATAATGGGAGGAATCTAGTAACCACAATGTGGCTCATGTGATTGTTATCCCTCCCCAAAAAATTTCATATTGTTTTAAAGTGCCTGTTGAAGGAGATTATATAAATGCATAAATGTGTAAAAGAACCAGCTGAACATGAGTCTTCTCTGTTTGGAGTGTTATCTTTTACTGTAAGTAAAAGACTTGAGTTATTGGTTATGCTGTAGACATATCTGTCATAAAGCACAAAGACAACAATTTAGGGAAGAGGAAGAAAAAAGGAATGTATGTGAGTCAATATTCCTCTTAGTTACACTAAGCACCAAAGTGTTTCAGGAAGACAAGGTAAAAATTACCAAAGCATAGTTTGGTGTTCACAAAACGTAAAACAATGAGACCCTGAATTAAAAGGGAAATACAACATAGTGAGTGTGGCCGTGCCCATGTGATGGTCCTGGTCATTTTATATTGTTCACTCCCAGGTGGTACCCTGCCCCTTAGATGCCAAGCTGGTATCTACACATCTGCAAGATGGTCTTCATCCCTGAACTTTGATGCCCCTGGCATCATCCTTGACTGTCTTTCAGAAGGTTGTGGCCTTTGAGGCTGCATCCTTGCAGCTCCCAGTGGCAGACACCCTCTTCTCTCTGGGAGTGGCCTTATTGGTTGCTGCCTGGGAGACACGGCCAGGGTCGCCCTGGGTGTGATGTCAGTGTCATCGTGATGATGCCTGTAGTCCGCCGCCATCATTCCCATAGGTGCCAAAACAAGTTTTGCCACAGATTTAACAGGTTAAAATGGGAATTTATGATCTTACCATTCTGTACTGCCTGATAGAGGTCTCACTGGGCAAAAATGAAGCTCTAGGAGAAAAGTTGTTTCCTTGCCTTTTCAGGTCCAGAGGCTGCCTGCCTTCCTCAGCTCTTGGCCGCCCTCCTCCATCTCCGGAGCCACCAGTGGTGGGCAGGGTCCTTCTCACTCTGGCCTCACATTGTTTTCTCTGCCTCTGGTCCTCGTGCTTCCCTCTTCCCAGGACCCATGTGATTTCATTGGCCCACCTGGATAATCCAGCATACTCTTCCTATTTAACAGCTGGCTGGTTAGCAACCGTAAAAAATCTGCAACCTTAATTCTTTGCCCTGGAGCCAAACATATTCACAGTTTTGGGGATTAGGACATGGGTGTCTTGAGGGCCATAATTCTGCTACCATGTTGGCACACCTGTTGTGCCCATCGTAGCTGCCTGCCCTTCCCTCCTATCTGCACAGCTGACTGCACTCTTGCTTACTGGTGGCATCCTCTTGTCTTAGCCAGACCTGCCAGAGTCACTTGGGATGTGTGGCCATGTTTCCACGCCTACCAAGCTCTCTTTGGAGATGCTACACCATAAACCTGCCGGCCTCTACAGACTCACCTGTGCTTCTAGACACCCACCAGTCTCTGGGCCTGGAAGCTGTTTGTGCCTAAGAAAGTCCTCAGAGGAATCTGCTTTTTGAATGACCAGACTATCAGTTTGTGCCACCTCTCTGGGCCATGACCTTTTCTACTCGGGCATGTTCTTCAAACCCTCTTCCCTTCCACTTGTCTCCACCCTGCTCACCCAGGGCCCAAGGTGGGGCCCCAGCAGAGGCCAGTCTCATTTGACTGCCACATAGAGCTCTCCTGGCCCCCACAGGGGCTGCTGCCAGCAAGGCTTCAAGCTGAAATGTGGCTGTGTCGGCCGTGGCAGGTCCAGATGGCCCTGTGCTAGAGCTCCTCTGGGACAGGGAACCATCTAGTCCCACGTCAGGATTGCTTCTAAGCTTGTGGCTATGTGAAGGAATGACTGCCATCTTCCCTCAGCTGAACTCCCAGACTTCAGAGTTCTCCTTCATTCTAGGGTCACTCTGTGTGTGTG